ACACCGCAACCACTTACACCGCAACCACTAAGCCACGCCCACAACACACCACTAAGCCACGCCCACAACACCGTAACCACTAAGCCGCGCCCACAACACCGCAACCACTAAGCCACGCCCACAACACCGCAGCCACGCCCATAACTCCCACAGTCCACAATCCATCACATAAATGTAATTATCATATCAATCATACACATCATCCCTCGTGAGCCCGGATATCAAGGGCGAGGTGTCCATTGGGCTCCCCTGTCGCCTCGCCTTTGCTGCCATAACCTGCTGATCACCTCCCCTCCCTCCCCTTCCTCCCCCTTATTTTCCTAGCCACTCCCCACTCCCTCCTTTTTTCCTGTATCCACTCCCCTACCTCTATTTTTGGACGTCATAAAGGGCGAGAGGGGTAAGGGCAAGGGGGGAGGGAGGTTAAGGAAGGCAGGAGCTTTCCTCCTTCCCTTCCTCCTTAGCCCCCCCCTACCCCCACCCCCCCCCCCACCGACGGAGATCCCCCAGGAGCTCGAGTCTTCCTCAATGGCACACTTCAGGGCCACGCCGCTCCCGCTCGCGATTTTTTTCTTTACTTTTATTCACCGCCTGAACACGGGGCCGCTGTGTATCAGGTTCTTTTTTTGTAACGAAGGTGGCTTCCCGAAGACTTTCGTTTACTTTAAAAAACGGGGATAGGGGGGGAGGCATTATGAATATGGTGATGAGGATTTTATACATACATACATACTTCACACCACACACACACCACAACACACACACACACACACACACACACAACACACAAACACATAAACATACATGCATACATATATATATTTATTATTATTAATATATATATATTATATATAATATATATTAATATATATATATGTAGATGATAGTGATGATGATGAGATAGATAGATAGATAGATGGTAGACAGAGAGAGAGAGAGAGAGAGAGAGAGAGAGAGAGAGAGAGAGAGAGAGAGAGGAGAGAGAGAGAGAGATATAGATACATATAGATAATACATACATTAAATATAGAATACCCACATAAATAACATAAAATTCCATCATATATCTTTTCGTCATCAAAATGAGAAATTTGCCCCCCACCTGTCACGCTGCTGCCCGAACTAACACACAGCAAATCCCTTATCACCTTGGGAAGTGTCATGCCAATAATGCTGCCAGTCGCAGAGGTAGACATGCAGGGGGCGTGATCTAGCTGGATGAATGTGGAATGGGGAGGAGGAAGGTGGAGGAGAGAAGAGGAGGAGCAGGAAGGGATGAAGAGGAGGAAGGGGAGGAGGAGGAGGAGGAGGAGGAGGAGGAGGAGAGGGAGGAGGAGGAGGAGGAGGAGGAGGAGGGAGAGAGGAGGTGAGGTGGAGGTGAGGTGGAGGTGGAGGAGGAGGAGGAGAGGAGGAGGAGGAGGAGAGGAGGGCAGGAGAAGACTAAGAAAAGAGAAATTGAATTGAAATGAGGACAGGGAAACGAAAGAAAAGAGAAAGAGACAGAAAGGAGAGAGAGTGGGGGGACAAGCGTAACTAGGGCAAATAAGGTCACTTACGTGAGAAAGAAACCCCATATTAGGCAAACGAAAAAATAATATATCCCCCCCTCCAGCCCTATCCGTCTATTCAAAAACACACACACACACATTAAGACGAGAACGACGGGACGCAAGAAAAAGACAGCAGAAGACATTTTATTTCAATCCCCCTCTTTTCCTTCGTCCAGACGAGGAGGAGGAGGAGGTGGGTAAGGCGGGGGTGGGGGGAGGTCGCAGGGGAGGGCGTCGAACAATAGAAAGATGATGACGAACTACAACAAGCGGGCGTGAAGAGGCGAAGGGAGACAAAGGATAAAAAGAGCTTACAAAAGGGTAACTGGAAGAGACGCAAGACCGAAGGAAAGCACGTGGCCTGAGGATCCCGGAAGACGCACGAAAGGAGGACCGAACACACGGGAGAGAAGGCGATGCATAGGTGGTGGTGTGTGCTATAAATATGTACATATTGTATACAGTATCATTTACATATCATACATCATATACATGTTAGATATACATGCATCCACACACACATTATTATATATGTATGTATCCCACACACACACACACACACACACACACACACACAACACACACAACACTATATTAATTATATATAATATATATATATTAATATATATATATATATATACATATGGTGTATTACACAACACAACAACACACACACACCACACACCACCACACACACCCAACACACACACACACACAACACACACACACATTATATATATATATATACTTATTTTATATTATATATATAATATATATATTATATATTATTATATATATGAATACAAAATATAATTACAACATAATATCCATTTATGCATATTAATATAATACGTTATTTATGTGATATATTATGTATACATATGTTACATTATATGTACTATATATATATATCATATTATATACATGTATATATACATATATATAAATAATATACATATATATAACTATTATACATATATTTACATATATATACATATATATGTACATATATACATATATATTATATATATATATATATTATATTATATGTAAATTTATATACATATTATATATATAATATATATATATTATTATATATATATTATACATAATATGTAAAGATATATATACTACTATTATACTTATATTACATATGTACTATAATTAATATATATATTATATGATATATTTTATATATATATATAATATTATAACTATATTATATTTATATGTACTGTATATATACATATATATTGTTTATTATATATCTAATATTTATATAATATATATATATATATTACTATATTATACAAGGTTAGATTATATTTGTATATTATAATTATATGTTTATATATATATATATATAGTTGTATATAGTATATATAACTACCCACAACCACACCACACCACACACACACACACACAACACACACCACACACCCTCATTAGTTTATATATATCTATATATATATATATATTATATGTAGATATATTATATGTAGTTAATATTATATAAATTATATTTATATATAGAATATATATATATTATTAATATTATTATATTATATGTATTATATATATTATAATATAATATAATATATATATATATATAATTATATAATATATGTATATATATATATATATATATATATATATATATATATGTTGTGTGTGTGTGTGTGTGTGTGTGTGTGTGTGGTGTGGTGTGTTTATAAATATATATATTATATATTATATATTATTATTATATCTATATTTATATATATATTGTGTGTGTGTTTGTGTGTTGTGTGTGGTGTGTGTGTGTGTGTGTGTGTGTGTGTGTGTGTGTGTGTGTGTGTGTGTACACACACACACACCATATTTATATATATATTATATATATACATATATATATTATTATATATATAAATAATAATATTTCATATACATATCATATACATAATATTCAATTATATATACATATGCCATATTATTACATATGCAAATTATATATCACTTATACCAATATATATACATATTATCAATATATATACATATCCAATTAATATATATATACCATATATATTATATATATAATTATATTATTATATTTATTTATAATATTATATATATTATTATATTTTATTATATATATATTATATATTATATATATATTATAAGATATATAATATATATAATATAATATATATATATATGTTCCTCGAGGAGGAAAGCAGCCATCCGAACTTCTTTTGTCTAAGGTGGAACGCTCCCATGCTCCTTCCTGCGCTGCCATCTGCGAAGTGTTTGTGTTCGATTCGTAGTGTTGTGGTGTTTCAGTATTAACAACGGTCCCTGCCAGCGGCCGTGAGTCTACGGCGGTTAGGGGAAGAAAAACCTCGTCTTAAAAGTGATTTTTTTTTCTCGTTTCTGTCTATTCTCTTTTCCCTTCATTTCTGATATCTTGATTTTATTTTATTTAACTGTATTTTGTTGAAATGAATATTGCAAATCTATTCGATTGGCTTTTGAGGAAGATAACCTAATCGTATCGAAAGGAATACCTATATTTAGATATAAGTATAGACGCTATAGAGAATTAATGAGTAGATAAATAGGCAAGGAAATAGATAGAGATCGAGAGAGGACAGTTAGAGAAGCAGATAGATGAAATGAAAACAATAATAAAAAACAACATAATGAAAATAGAAAAAAATCAACAGCACAACAAAAGGTGTTACAACGACGATAAGCAACGCATAACGCAACACAAGCAGCATAACGGCGACATGACGTCATGCAACCAGATCTGAGTGCAAACAATCGCAAGGTGGCCATTAACGACGCAATTTTCCCCTAATTACACAAAATCTCCCTGCTGCAATAGCCTTGACCTTCAGCGCAGTAACGAAAGCAAAAATAGCAAATCGCCTTACTAGAAGACTGCAAAGAAACACTGGAAGTCAGCAACGTAGTTTCCAGTGAAAAGGAAAAGAAACTAAAGAGAGAAGAAGAGGAGGAAGAAGTAGAAGTGAAGAAGAAAAAAAAAATAAGATAAAAAAAAACACATACACATTTTCATATGAGAAACTAAGTAGGAACTAAATAAGAGGGAAACAGAAAAAAGTAAGAGGTAAAATAGTCGTATTTCCCTTTAACAAGTTTTTTTAACGAAACAAAACACACAAGAAAGAAGAAAAATCAGACAAGGCATTCTAACATATGAATAACATAAACATTAAGACCCAAAGCAGCTCAGGAACAGTCTCCGGACAGCATGAAAAGCCCGTGTTTGTGTATCTCCCCTAAAATAAACGTGTTACGTTGAGCGCTTATTTACACAAGTCTAAACCTGACGGTGCATACTGTGCCTCGCGTAGCACTTTCAGGAATTAATTCAGAGTTGATTTCTTTGATGATTCTATGACATTGTATTACTAAATAAACAACAAACAAAGAGCAACGTTCGCCTGGCTTACCATTTGGGCGGCTTATCCCTTCTTACAAGACAGCTTTAAGGCACCCAATGACGGGTCCGTCGGGGCGCTACTCTGCCTAAGTTAGTGCGAAGAAATACACCGTTGAGTAACAGCTTCTAGGTTCATTATATACGGGGAATATAATTTTCTTTATTATATACCTGTTCATTTGTTTTGATTCGTTTCTTAGTATCGGCTATGCATCGAGATCTAATCAGGAAATAACGTG